TCTACTTCCTGCCTTGGACCACCACTTCTTGTTTTTATATGGTGCTAGAGAGTAAACCCAGGACTTCATGCATGCCATCCTGCCCTTCTGGGCTTTGTTTTTGTTGTTGTCCTGTGTGTGGTTTGTTTGTTTGTTTTGCTTGTTTTTCGAGACAGGGTTTCTCTGTATTTGGAGGCTGTTCTGGGACCAGCGCTGTAGACCAGGCTGCCCTCGAATTCACAGAGATCTGCCTGCCTCTGTGTCCCAAGTGCTGGGAGTAAAGGTGTGCGCCACCAACGCCCAGTGGCTTGTTTTTTAAGATAGTTCTTGGTTCTAGCTGGAGCTGACTCTAATCCAGGCTGGCTTCAAACTCATGGTGGTCTTCCTACCTCAGTCTTCCAAAAGCTTAGATTACAGAAGCAAGCTACCACTCTTGGCTTGTTTCTGTTTTTTGAGACCACCATCTCAGGATTCATTAATTGTCATTACTATTATACATTTTTACCTTACTCATTTTATGTAGGCAATGAGTGACACGCATGCTACAGAATGTATGTGTAAGTCCGGGTTCAGCTTCTGGGAATTGTTTTTCTCCTTCCACCATGTTGGTCCTAGATATCCAATTCATGTCAAACTTGGGGCAAGCACCTTTACCCGCTGAGTCATCTCGCTGACTCCCCAAGTTTCTTTTTCTTGTTTTGTTTTCTGAGATAGGGTTTCTCTGTGTATCCTTGGCTGTCCTAGACCTAGTTCCTTTGAACAAGTTGGCCTCAGACTCACAGAGATCTACCTGCCTCATGCAAGCATGGGTCACCACCACCCAGCAAGGGTTCTTTTAAATCAATCCAATACAACATTTCCTCTCTACCATAGAGTGAGCACAGGTAACCTACCTGGATGGGACTGGCAGGGGCAGGAGTGTGTTTACACAGTTGGCCTGGAATGCCTTGCAACCTGATAAGGATAATGTCCCTACTTTTAGCTTGTGCTGACATCGTCGGTAATGGATGCGGTCTCTTTAAGAACTGGTTTAGTGGCCCGCCCTCTAGAGGGATCAGGAGGAAGGGAGTCATGTGACTCTGAGCCTATTCCGGCTGAGTTAGACTTAGTGGCTGTATGTGCCGCAGTTGGGGACCTTACTGGGGCTGGGTCCCCTGTGCCCCAATCCCATGGCTTCTTTTGAGTCTTGTGTGTACAGCTCCATTTGGCCTGCTGGGAGAAGAAACTCGCCAGGTAAGGGTTCTGGAACTAAAGTAATAGATGCTTCCAGAAATATAAGCTCTCTACGATGACTGGAATTGGGGCAACAGATGGGTGGAGGGTGGATGCAAGAGAGGTATCAGCCCAGCCAGCATGGAGCTATGAGTGATGGAAAGGATTGTGGAGGAAAGCATGCATGTATGACAGCTTCCTGCTTTCTGGTGATGTCAATCATGGTCCAGTTGTTATAGCACAGAAACAGGCAAGTTTGGAGATTTAAAAAGCCTTCTCAGCCCTGAGTCTTGACCTCCTCCCCAGGGTCAGGGTAATTCTGGATCTATCCTATTTCTTCTCAACCTTAAATCTGCCCCTGATTCCAGGATCCCTCGGTTTCCATCCATTACTTCTGCCTAGGCCTCAAAAGCCCTTGCTATCCCTGGCATTGCCCGGGGCCTGTGCTCCATCTCTGATCTTGTTCTCTCCATCCCACTACCCCATGCTCCAGGTATCCATGAAGGTTATTTCCGGCTGGCCAAATCCCCAGAACCTGCTTCATATCCGGGCAGTGGGCACCAACTCCACCCTGCACTATGTATGGAGCACCCTAGGACCTCCAGCTGTGGTGCTGGTGGCCACCAACACCACTCAGAGTGTCCTGAGTGTCAACTGGAGTCTGCTGCTGTCTCCCGATCCTCATGGGGCTCTGATGGTGCTCCCTAAGGACAGCATCCAGTTTTCTTCTGCTCTTGTCTTCACCAGGGTGAGGGAGCTGGAAGAGCTCAGAGAGAAAAGCATGGCCAGAATCCATTCTACCCCAAGGGAGAGGGAAGGGGTTAAGACAGGGTGGACAAAGTGGATGCAGTTTTGGGTGGGTTGAGTGGGAGAGATATACAGAGAAAGCCAGAGGGAGGCAAGCCCCATTCCACTCCACCCTGTCCCCAGCTGCTTGAGTTTGACAGCACCAAGGTGTCCGAGGGGGCAACCCAGCCCTCAGGAAAACCATATCCTCCGTACTCCTTGGCTGAGTTCTCCTGGAACAATATCACCAACTCCTTGGATCTTACTACTCTGAGTGCTGTTTTCCAAGGCCACCCTGTAGATGAGCATACTGGAGCATTTGCTAATGGCAGCCTGGCCTTCAAGGTAAGGTTGTGGGGAAGGAATTCAAAAAGCTGACTGATGAGGATGGGAGTACCCCTCAGCTCCATTCTCACCATATCCACATGGCCTCCTTCTCTTTCCTAGGTCCAGGCCTTTTCTGGATCTGGTCGACCTGCCCAGCCCCCTCACCTCCTGCACACTGCAGATTCCTGCCAGGTAGAAGTTGTCCTGGATGGAGCTTCTCCTCGTGGAAACCACTCCATATTTGGCCTAGAGGTAGTCACCATAGGCACTGGCCTTGACTGCCCGTCAGTGAAGGAGCTGCACTCCATCGACGATGAGTATGCACCAGCTGTCTTCCAGGTCAGGTTTCCAGTGGGAGGCAGATGGGTGGGAATATAAAGTGGGATGCTGTTAGCACCCCAGAAAAATCAACCAACCACTTATTATTTTTAAAAAAGATGTGTTATTTTGTATGTGGGTTTGCCTCCTATAGGGGCAAAATTCCACCCTGGAGCTGGAATTACAAATGGTTGTGAGCCTCCTGACATGAGTGCTGGAAACTGAATTTGGGTTTTTGCAAGAGCAGCAAACTCTCAGTCACTGAGCCATCACTCCAGCTGCCACCGCCCCCCCTTTTTTTTAAGGGTTTTGTTTGTTTGGTTGGTTGGTTTTTGGGGGTGAGGTGGAGAGGGCATTGGAGACGGTCTCCCTATGTAGTCCTGACTGGCCTAGAACTCTTGCTATGTAGACAAGGCTGACCTTGAACTCACAGAGATTCATATGCTTCTGCCTCCTGAAAGCTGGGTTTAAATGCGTGCATCACCACACATGGTCCCCGTTTATTCTTTAACAACACTTTCTCTGACTGCTTTTTGCATTGGGATGTGCTAATGTATTCCCTGACATCTCTGCCCTCCAAGGAAGCAGACAAAAACAGTTCTTCCTGATCTTCAGAAGGGTTTCTCCTTAACCTGGGGTCCAGAAGGAGCAAGGACAAAATGGCAAGCCTGTGGCTCTGCTCATCTCATGTACTCTCCAGAGAAAAGTGACTGGTCCCCCTACAACGAGCATGTCAATCCTAGAACAACACTTAGTCTTGGGGACTCTTGCTGGCCTCATTGCTTGTATTGCTAGTATTACTAGTGGCATGCAGTCTGGGAGAGGTGGGGAAACAGATTGGCACAGGCTGGTCCATCTCCCTCTGCCCCCTTTGCCTTTTTCTCCAGGTGAATCAGTTGCTGTGGGGCTCTTCACCATCTGGCTTCATGCAGTGGCGACCAGTGGCTTTCTCTCAGAAGGAGCGGGACCGAGAATCAGCCGTCCCCTGCCAGGCTTCTTCTCTTCACCCTACCTTGGCTTATTCTCTCCCTTCCTCACTAATTGTCAGAGCCTTCTTTGGGTCCCAGAATTTCTGTGCCTTCAATCTGACATTTGGGGATCCCACAGGCGCTGGCTACTGGGACCAACACTACCTCTCCTGGTAAGAATCAAGGATTTGGAGAGGTCACAGTGGACAAGGGCTGAGCCCCTCAGCCTTCCTTCCTAAGCTTGCTTACCTCTTTTTTTTTTTTTTTTAACCTTTTTGCTCTAGGTCAATGCTTCTGGGAATGGGCTTCCCTCCAGTGGATGCCTTATCTCCACTAGTGCTCGGAATCATAGCAGTGGCCCTGGGAGCTCCAGGGCTCCTGTTGCTGGGAGGAGGCCTGTTTCTGCTGCTGCGCCACAGGCAGTATTCAGAGTACCAGTCCATAAACTGAAACCTACTCTCCAGAGGGAAGGGCAGGACCACAACTGCCTGGTTGTGCCTCACACTATTGGAGAGTAGAGGGTTAGTATTGTGTCTGCTTTTCTGCAGAATCTCAGAAGCCAGCCTCAACTTACTGGGGGCTCCGATTGATGTCCTTCCTCCCCTAGGGAGAGGCTAGGATATTGGTAAAAGGAAGGTACACCACTGATGTTTCCCTCTCTGTCATTTGCCATTCCCATTTCCCATGGCTAAAACTTGAAGACCTACAATGAGAGTGACTGCCCTAAGGGGCATGAAATAGACAATTTTTTCCCATAAAAGATTCTAAAATCTCTTTCATTTTTGAATTAGATTTATGTATTTTATTATATGTGTGTTTTGCTTGCTTGTATGGTGTATGGATGTGTACTTTGCATGTGCACGTGTGTGTGTGTGTGTGTGTGTGTGTGTGTGTTGTATTGTGTTGCCTGTGGAGATCAGAAGAGGGCACTAGGTCCCTGGAACTGGAATTACAGATGGTTGCTGTAAACCACCATATGGGCAAAGGAAATTACAGCAGGGTTCTTTGCAAGAGCTCTTAACCACTGAGCCACCCAGATTCCAATCCAATCTCTCTCTCTTTCTCTCTTTGAGACAGTGTTTCTCTGTGTAGCCCTGGCTGTCCTGGAACTCACACCATATATAGGCCTAGCCTCAAACTCAGAGATCCCCACCCCCCCCCCTCGTCCCTTCCTCCCTAGTGCCGGATTAAAGGCAGGTACCACCATGTCTGGCTGCTTTCAGCAAATGAGAAGACTGAGAGAGAGTCTTGGAAGGCAATTTCTATTTGAGGGCACATTTTCTCACCAATCCCCGTGGTCTCCCCCAAAGCTCTTATCAACCATGCTCCACGCCTTGGTCTTGATGCTTAGGAGTTGATTTGTGCCCTGGGGAGGTGGGGGTCGCAGCCCAGGAAGAAGGAGGCATGAGAGGCAGGCAGTGATTTATTACATACTCACACATATGTACTGGGCAAGCAGGCACTCTGCCATCCAGCCATTACATGTGAATATATACACAGTTCTTCTGGAGGGTTCATCTCTCTGCCCCAGCCCCCCCACACACACACTTTTAAAGTGGAATTTCCTGGAAGTTTGAGAAGTAGAAGGTTACAGGGACCCATGTAGGTTGGGAGAGGGAAGGCAACAGCTGTACTAGTCTTGACTGAGGTAAAAAGAATCTTGAAGCCAGTGATAGAGAGGGTCTTGAATCCAGGCCCCCTAGGGAGGTTTTCATCTAGTGTCAAAGATGTCGAAACCCTGACCTGATGTGATTCCAAGCTCTACCCTTGGGCCTGGGCAGTTTCCCATCTCCTTGACTTTCATCTATACAGCTAGCAAAGACAGTCTAGGTTGGGCTGCAGCTCTGCACCTCTGGCCCACAGGAAACTGGGTAGTGAGGTAGCCATTCAGCCTTACTTAGCCTTAGTGTGGCATAGTGGGAGGCCGAGGAGGAAGTGTGTGTCTCCAGTTTCAGGCTCTCGCACTCCAGGAGTAAAGCAACAGCTAAGAGAGAGCTGGGGTTTCTGGTCCCTGCTGGATGGGGCTCCTATGGGGCAGTAGCAAGGTTCTTCACATTGAAGGTCCATGACCTGGGCAAAGATCAGGCCTGCAATTGTTTCAGGGAAGCACTAAAAGTCCCCTGCACAGCCCTAGGGCAGCTCAGCCCCATGAGCGAGGCCTGTAGTCGGAGACGGATCGCATGTGGTCAGGGTAGTCCAAGCGGCTCTCAGAGGCAGTGAGCATGCGCTCTGGCTCCACCACGAACATGTAGTAGAGGTTCCACATCAGCATGGCCAAGAGCGGCAGGAAAGTCAGCCCGTAGCCAAAGCCTCGGAAGGAGCGGCCCACAGCAAAGGTCAACCAGTAGATCAGTCTGTGGGGGCATGACAAGGGTTATCTCCTCTCCAGGGCCCAGCCAGATGGGAGCAGGTGCCACGCTGGTGCTACAAAAGTGTGTGTGTGTGTGTGTACATATATATACACACATACATACATACACACATATATATATAGTTTACTTTCCCACATCTTTGAAGTGAGAATATCATTCTTGTCTTCTCTTTTATTTACTATTTAAAATTAAAGTGAACAAAATTAATTTCATTTTTTTGTTGTTTTGTTTTGAAAATAGGGTTTCTCTGTGTATTAGTCCTGGCTGTCCTGGAACTCACTCTGTAGGCCAGGCTGGCCTCAAACTCAGAAATCTGCCTGCCTTTGCCTTCCTGAGAGCTGGGATTAAAGGCATGTGCCACCACCATCCGGCCAATTTCTTTCTTTCTTTCCTTCCTTCCCTCTTTCTTTTTCTAAATAAGATTTATTTATTATGTACACAGTGTTCTGCAGGCCAGAAGAAGGCACCAGATCTCATTACAGATGGCTGTGAGCCACCATGTGGTTGCTGGGAATTGAACTCAGGAACTCTGGAAGAGCAGCCAGTGCTCTTAACCTCTGAGCCATCTCTCCAGCCCCTGAACCAATGAATTTATTTTTTAATTAAGTGTTCATTATGTGATTCAGAATTAAATGACAATTCAATTTCAATGTTCTCTTCCCCTGTTGAGTGGTGGTACCACATACCTTTAATCCTAGCACTCAGGAGGCAAAGGCAAGCAAATCTCTGAATTTGAGGCCAGGCTGGTCTCCAAATCTAGTTCCAGGATGGCCAGAGCGACACAGAGAAACCCTGTCTCAAAAAAACAAACAACAAAGATTGCCTCCCTCTTTTCTGATCCCCACTCTGTTCTCCCCAACTCCCGCCCTAGGCATCCAGTTCTACAGTTTCTTGAGTCATTCCTATTTTGTAGATATTAACAAAAACTGGTTTGTGGTCCAGAGCTTCACAAAGCTAGGCAAGTGGTCTCCCAAATGAAGGGATTACAGGTGCGTTCACCAGAGCCCTCTACACGATAGGCACATACTCTGTCAACTGAGCTCCATGCCTAGCGCAGTGCCTGCCCTCACTCTCAAATGTTCTGTTTGTTCACTTTTGGTTTGCTCTTGAGCTAGAGTCTCACTATGTACCCTGTATGTCCTCGAGCATGTACTGATTCTCCTGCCTCTGCTTCCTGAGTGGTGGCTGGGACCACATGCCACTGGCCACCTTTGCACATCCTGTCCCTTTCTCTTCCTTAGACAGCTCCAGTGTGGTGTCCCAGACTTTTAATCCCAGCACTCAAGAGCCAAAGGCAGTTGAAGCCTAGTCTACATAACAAGTTCCAGGACTTCTTGAGTTTGTCTCAAACAAAACAAAACAAAGGCTCACTTTCAATAATGGTTGGTTTGAGGCCAGCCTGAATTACATATTTTCAGCCAGTGTGGGCTACATTTTGAAATTCTGTCACAATAAAATAAAATTCCCTGATGACTCCAAATTGAATGAAAGTAATGAGAGTGAACTAGCCTCTGGGTAAAGAGGTCAGTGCCCCTAACCAAGGTTCTGCTCACTAACAAGCAGATTTCCTGCCAGAGAGCAAAGGGATCTGAGCCATTTAAGTGCAGTGACTGATCTGTGTTGTTCAGAGTCTAAATCCAGAAGGTCTATGTCAAGACAGTTAATTTCCTTCCTTCCTTCCTTCCTTCCTTCCTTCCTTTCTTTCTTTTTGTTTTTGAGACAGGGTTCAGGAATTCTCTGTGTAACCTTGGCTGTCCTGGAACTTGGAACTCGATCTGTAGACCAGGCTGGCCTCGAACTCCCAGAGATCCACCTGCCTCTGTTCTTTTTGGGTTTTGAGACACGGTCATAGTTTTGTTGTACTGTCCTGTACTATGCAATTCAGGCTGGCTTGAACTCTTGGCAGCTCTCTTTTCTCAGCCTCCCAAGCACTGCGACCGCAGGCTTGAGAGAGCACTATATCAGCTTTAGGGCAGTTTTTAGCACTGTATAAGGAAGGACTTTCTAGCAATTAGAACTCTCAAACTTGGGACAGGGTGTGGTGGTGATCCCAGCACTTGATTGACTGACAAGAGGATGGCCAAGAAGTTTGTGTCCTGGCTGCATGGTGAGATGCGATTGTCTCAAGCAAAATAAAACAGGAAATGTCCCACATAGCCAATTTTTAAAGCCATCTGAATAGAGTGTCACAGACTTGAGGAGTGCCTTAGAGGACATGCTAAATGACACCTGAGCTAAATGACACCTGAGGTTAGGGTGGTCGGTCCTGTGCTTAGGTGTATGGGGCGTTCAAAAGCTCGCCATTGGCACGCCTCTGTGATCAGCTTCTGAAAGTAAGACAGGAACTAACCACTGGCTACTCAAGTAAGGTGCAAGAGACAGGATAGACTGACTAACCTCTGCATGGTGCCCCAGCAGAAATCCCTTGACCTCAGACCTTCACCTTCAGCCCCTTCACTTCCCTCATGCCTACCCTACCCTAGCCACCATAGATAGCCCCTACTCACCGAGATATTGCAAACAGACCAGTGAGCAGGGGAAGCAGCTTGAGGGTGTCCTGGGGTAGATAGGTGGAAAGGACGGCCATATTAAAGAAGTAGAGGATGAAGAGCTGCACAGACTGGGCCACATACTGCCGGTGGATCTCTACTTCCCGCCTTGGCTCTCCGAAGGGCCGGAGGGCAGAAAAGCACAACAGGCTCAGCCCATACACAAGGAGCCCTGGCAGGGGAGGAAGCACACACCGGGTCAGAAAAGGCAGGAGGGCTGGGATGGCTTTCTCAGAGGATGGTTCTTGGGTCAGGACTGTGGAGAGAACACAAGAGCTCTCTGGAAGAGAGGTGGCCGGTTTGGGACATCAATGGTTCCAGCAGAATGAAGAGAAACCACCCCAACCAGGCCTCTCTAGCCTGCTTCCTAGGTAGCCCTTCTCCACGGCCCAGACTCACCTAGCACGATGGGGAAGGTGGCAAAGACCCCACAGCGTAGGGTGTAGATCAAGCGGGAGCTCATGGTGGGCAGCCTGGGAGCATCGAATGGCAGGAAGGCGTATGCTCCATACAAGAAGCACGGGAAGAAAATGAGGGCAGCCACCACCGAAGCTACAGCCCTCAGCGCCTCACGTCCTCCACAGCTCCCACAGCCCCCACAGGACCGACCAGGGGGTCTCACAACTGCTTCAGCCCATTTGCACTCTGGAGGTTCAGGGTGGCTGAGTCGGGCTGGCAGGAAATTCCTTCGCTCCATGCGCTCCTGTGGCCTCCGCTCAATGCACTGTAGATCAATGGGCACGAAAGCCCTAACCGACTTCTCAAGGAGCAAGTTGGCATCATCTTTGAGTAGTGGTTCTTCAGACTTAGTAGTGAGTGGTTCCTCCAACTTAGTGAGTGGCTCCAACTCTAGGGGCTCTGGTTCAATATCTCGCCAGCCTGGAGGATCTGGAAGTGGGGCGCTGGGCTGGGGGTCAGTTCCCCAGGGCAAAGTCGCAGCCTCGCTTACAGTGCTCTCCAGACCGTCCTCAGGCCCCTCTCTGACCATGGGAGACCCAACTGAAGACCCCACTCTGAGAGACTCAGCTCCAGGGGACTCGGTCCCATCTTCTCCCTCTGGCTGCCGGCCAGTGGGGACTGGCGCCTGCGGTGGGCCCTTCTCTGGTGCCTCGGGTCCCTTCATTTCTAGCAGGGCCAGTGTCTCCGGTTCCGGTTCTGTCATCGTGAAGAGCCTTCAGTTCTAAGGTCTGGTACAAGGTGATATCATCCTAAAGGGAGTGGGGTGAGTTCTGTGAAAATGCCCGCCGTCTGCCCCAGAACAGTTCCTCAAACTGGAACTCACCAGAGCAGCCGGCCTCATGGGACTCCACCATGTGAAGGAAGGTAGGGAGACAGAGGGCAGCAGGAGGAGCTGAAATGGAGGAGCGATTTCAAAAGAAATGCCATCCAGCAGGACAAGGGTGAGTCAGGGGACACAAGCCCTGGCAGCTGTGGCCTCAGTCTGTGTCCACACCTGCCTCCTGTTCTCTGCACCCAAACCCCTGGATTCGAGGCCACCCTAGCTTTGGAATGGGCTGAGAGTTTCTTTACAACTGAGAATCATCCTATAGAGAAACTGCCCTTTCTCCCTTGCACTTGCCCTTTGCCCTGCAGATCCCTGCCCGTAACTCTTGGCAAGCGAGGCCAGTTGCCAGATATTGGGTCCGGTCCCTTAGTCCCAATTCCAGGAACCAGCAGCCACTCTCTAAACTCTACCCTTGCCAGGGTTACCCTTCAGCCAGGCTGAGCTCCACTTGGACCTTTCAGCTCAAGTAGCTGTTCCCATGCCTTCCTCTTGTCTTCCTTCCCCCCCCCCCCCCCCCCCGCCACTCTGCGGTCACTGCTTCCGGTTAGGTCTCCTCTTCATTCCCCTCTAGCGCCCCTCCTACCCCTGCCCTTTAGACCCATGGTACCCTCTTACTTTACATCTGTGGCTAGGCGGAGGATCCCCGGAAAGGAACTGCCCAGCTCCTGGCTGGCTCTGCAAGTATTTGGCAGTCTCCCTCCCCTTGCCTGTGTCTCCAAACCTGTCTGACCAGAGCAGGTGGGGCCCAGATTAAAGGCGCAGGCCCTGCCGTACAGAATCTGTGGACTGGAAGAGCTGTGGAGGACGACGTCATCCTTTTTGAAAGTCAGGGTGCAGCTGGACATAGAGGTGTGGAGTTTTGGTGTTCTGGGATGTGTAAGAACTTCCAGTTCAGTAAGCATCAGGAGAAAGGGGTCTGTATGCCAAAGGGTACTTAAAATAAGTTGGGGGGGAAAGGTGCCTTGTAAGTTTGCTCATTCTGTGAATGTTTATTGAGTATCTATTAATAATGTGCTATTCTTGTGGTATGCACACCTTTTTAATCAGCACAGGAGGCAGAAGCAGGCAGATTTCTATGTGTCTGAGGACAGGCTGGTCTAGAAGACAAGCTTCAGAACACCCAGTGTAAGGATCCAAGCATTATGCTTGTCTGCCCCTGTCACCTGGCAGAATGCACTCAGGCAGTACCCTGGTCAGCCCAGGTGCAAAGGACCCCTTTAAAAGAAAGACCTCGGCCCCTTTAGACTTTCTCGCACTCTTTCCTGCCGTTCCCTGGGGCAGACAGGGCTTTTCCTGTCTCCGTCTTCTCTCCTCTCTCTGTCTCTGGGTCTCTTTACTTCTTTTCTCCCCAGTCTTTCCCGTTCTAATAAAACTTCTCACTAAGTTCTGTCTGCCTGGCATGTTTGTCCCTTGTCTTGAAATAAAAAAAAATACAAAACAACAAACCACACTGAATCCGTATGAGGGTTTCAGTAGGGAAAGCCTCTCTAAGGTGACATTTACGTCAAAACGCAATGGGAGCTCAGGAGCGACTGTTGTTTGTAGAGGAACTGCAAGTGAAAGGCCAGCAGAGGGAAAAGACTTCATGCTGTCTTAGGGACAGAAAGGCTTGGTGGCTGCAGCCAGGAGCACAGTGGTGTATACATTGCCATGATAATGTGTACACACACCGGACCCCAAACACCTTGCTTTTAGCTTGGGTTTCTGGTTAAGAAAGCAATAGAGCTGGCAAGATGGCCTATCAGGTAGGGAGGGGCACTTATGACCAAGCCTGATTACCTACCTGAGTATGACCCCTAAGAACTACATTGTGAAGAAAAGTGACTTCCCCACACATGTATACACATAAGCCATAAATAAATGAACGTAGTGTTCCTGGGAGGAATTCCTTAAACAAACAAAAACCCACTGTCCCTCCTCCAGCAGCCATCAACTCCCAGCGCTCCTCCCCACCTCCACGCTGGTAGTGTGGACAGGTTCCATGGCAGGCGAGGGTGACGGAGGCGGTGCCAGGCAGACAGAGCTTGGGTGAGAAGTTTTATTAGGAAGGAGAGGGAGGAGGAAGAGAAAAGACGTAAAGAGGCACAGAGAGGACAGAAGAGAAGAGGGAGACAGGAGCAGAAAGTGTGTGTGTGGGGGCGGGGTCTGTCTTTTAAAGGGGTCCTTTACACCTGCGAGCAGACTAGTACTCATGGGACCCTGGGCTGACCAGGGTACTGCCTGAGTGCATTCTGCCAGGTGACAGCGGCAGGCCAGCGTAATGCCTGAGTCCTTACTGGTAGTGTGCACACAGTCTCAGGTGCTGTGAACTCCTGTGTGCACGGCCATGCCTGGCAAATACTGTTTTGATGCACATATCCACTACCTCAGGCTCAAAGCTTTTCGCTGCCCCTCCTCTGCAATGATTTCTGTGTCTTGGGGGTAGCTGTCCTATTTAATTAGTTCGTTTTTATTTTATGTGCATTGGTATTTTGTCTGCATGTGTCTGTATGAGGGAGTCGGATCTCCTGGAGCTGTCATGTGGGTGCTGGGAATCGAAACCAGGTTCTCTTGAAGAGCAGCCTGTGTTCGTAACCGCTGAGCCCTTTCTCCATTCCCTAGCTGTTCCGTTTAGAGCTGAGCACTCTACAGTCTCCTTTTTCCTCCCCTGAAAACTTTTTTTTTTTTTTAAATCACAACTTATCTCAGGGTAGGGGCATGCCATGGTGCTGGAGTCGATTCACCTTACACCTTGTGGGTTCCAGGGGCCGAGCTTAGGTTGGCCGCAAGCGCCTTTATCCGCTGAGTCACCTCGCCAGCGCGCTCTTTTTAAGTTTTTTATTTTTTTAAGTGTCTCGCTAGGTAGCCGGGCTGGGAACTTGCTGCAGGTTGCCTGGTCTCCTTAAGTGCTAGAACGATAAGCCTGCTGCGGTACGCCCAGTTTCTCTGACATCTTTGACAATAAAGTTCTCCTGAAGGACTTTGGAGAAGCCCTGCAGAAGCCATGCTGCCCGGAGTTAGTTCGGGTAACTTCCCGGAGAGAAAACACTTTTTCGCGAGATTTGGAAGAGCCGTCGCTGGTCCGCAGCTTTGAGGCAGCTATCGCGAGATTTGATAGGCGGAGGAGGAGCCATCTCAAGCAGCCGCCTCACAGCGATGGCGGCCGAGCAGGGCCGGCGGCGGTGGCGGCTGCGGCTACGGCTGGAGACGGCAGTGGAGGGACCAGTGGTGGGTGGCGGGGGCCTGTGACCAGGAGGTGCCCCCGGGCCCAGGCACCATGAGCCAAGGCCCCCCTCCAGTGGAGAGCAGCGAACCTGAAGCAAAGGTCCTCCACACCAAGCGGCTTTACCGGTGAGAGGGCCGGGGCGTGTGTGCAGCCACGGCGGGGAAGCGGGGCCGGCGAGGGGCGGGGCGTGCGGCGGGCGGGCCCGACGAGGGCGGGGGTGCAGCCTGAGAGCGGGCGGCCGAGCCCGGAGCTGAGAAGAATTGGGTGGGTGGGAGGTTTGAAGCCTGTGCTTCAGAAACCCTTGCTGCAGTGAGCGCGGCGCGGCGCGGCGTGGCGCGGGCCTTTGCGGGATTGGAGAGATCCGGTGGGAATTGGAGGCTAGAAGGGTGGGATGGGGGTCACAGGTGGAAAAAACCGAAGGCGACTGCTGCTCAGAACCCCGCTGAGCACCAGTGGTTTACTGGAAACAGCCCTTTGGCTGAAGTCCGCAAAAACAGGTTCATGTCCTTGATTTGCCCCTCTGGCTGTGTGACCTTGGGCCTCAGTTTCTTCCTTAAAAGGAAGGAGCTGGAGATGTGGCTCAGCCAGTTAAGAGCACTGGCTGCTCTTCAGGAGGACCTGGGTTCAGTCCCCAGCACCCGCTCATAACTGTAACTCCCAATTCCAGGGTGTCTGACACCCTCACACAGATATACATGCAGGCAAAACAACAATGCACAAAAAAATAAAAATAATCTTTTAAAAAAGGAAATCTTGTCGTAGGTGGTGGTGCACACCTTTAATCCCAGCATTCTGGAGATATAGGCAGGAGGATCTCTGAGTTCGAGGCCAGCCTGGTCTACAGAAGCAAGTTCCACAGGATAGGCTCTGTCTCAAAAAAAAAAAAAAAAAAAAAAAAAAAAAGAAATATCAAATTATTAAAAAAGGGTTTGATTTGTATACACTCTGAAGTCCTTTATGGCTCAAATTTTGTGGACTCTGAATGAGGAAAAAAACCTAGAAGAATAGTTTTGGCTGGGAAGAGCCATGGGGGACCTTTGGTTCATAGTATTCAAAGTGCCTACCAACTCAGTTCTTCATTCCTTACTGTCTGTGTCCACGCTCTTCTTGTGTAGGTCAAGTAGAACATAGATCCCAGAGCCGAGTCACTGTCAGATGAAATGTAGAGACCACGATGAGTTTTCTGCTTTCTACTGGGAAGGAAGTGGGAACTCCCATTTATCTCTGCCTCTAGCTGAATGGAGGTGTTTGCCTGAGAAGAATACTGGCCTTGCCCTGCCCAGGCTTGGCAGTGAAAGAACCAGGGACTGGTAGTGTTCATGTGCCCTGCCTGTTCTGGCCTTGTAAGCCAGAAAGTGAAAGGGAGTACAGGCTCTTCCAGAAATAGAAAGGTGATCCCCACCCGCAGCCCCAGGCCTCCCACTGTGGGGTCCCCAGGAGAGTTCCCTGGAGATGGCTTGTGTAACTGCTGCCAAGTGCTGAAGGGATAGATGTCAGACACAGTGGGCAGTGTCCAATATTCCTCTCTTGTCTCCAGCCGGAGGATAACTCTGGCCAGTCTTCTGCTGGTGTTGAGCTGGCTTTCTCAAATCTTTGTTTCACAGGACCAACCGACTGAGCTGGTGTGTTTGCAGTACATGGCTTACATGCATGTATGTGTGCACATGGGTTATGAGTGTTGGTTTTGAGTGGGATGAACATTTGCTGCAGCCAGTGTGTGTGTGTGAGGGGGTCTAATTTCTAATAAATGTGTTGTTAGACTGGAGCTGTCATTGAGCTTAAATAAATTGAGAAACGCACATCTATGGCATTTTGGTATATTTTTTTATTCTTTTATTTTTGAGACAGGATTTCTCAATGTAACAGTCCTGGCTGGCCTGGAACTCACTCTGTAGACCAGGCTGGTTTCAAACTCACAGAGATCCACCTGCCTCTGTTTC